CCCGCATCTCCCGGAGGACCTGGATCACCTTGATACCCTGTGACTCCTGCTGCTCCACGATCTCCTTCTTCTCCTTCAGCTCCCCGTTGCCCTTTTTTTCCTGGACTTCCCTTTCGTCCATCTCGTCCTGGCAGACCTGGGGCACCGGGAGGTCCTTTTGATGGACAGGCCTGAAAAAAGAACTTACGTATGTTTGAAGACTTTTTCAAATACACTTTATCTCGTTCAGAAACAATCAATTAGGGAACTTACTTCGATTGCAATAATGGCGCAGGTGATCAGTAGGAATATGCCAAATAAATGCATTGACACTGAGAATCTGAAATTGATTGCTTCATAATGGTTGAAATTTCTCAGATTTCTTTCAAATTGCTAAACTTCTATCTTTCCTGTGAAAGAAAAATGCCTACCAAACTACTTCAAAGTCCTTATTCTCCTACGAAAAATTATGATTTATTGGTCATGATTTAAAAAATTTTTGCCATAATGCCATCGAAAATGTAACAAACGATTTTCAAACTCAATTAAAGTTTGGTGGAGCGAATTTCGAGGAGAAATTTTCCATTTATATTGGAGAATGCCTGGTATGAATCAATGCGGAATTCATAAAATGAAGTATTTAAAGAATTTTTTGTTGTATTATCGCATCAAATGCAACATCAGGTGATAATTGTTAATGTTTATGAAACTTAAACAGATCATTTTGGATGATAATTTAAAGCGAACGGAAGAATATCCGGCTGATTGGACCAGCAGTTAACAGAGAATCCGGAAGATAGAAGGAAACAGGTTTTGAATCTTCGAGAAATAGAAACGAGTTGGGAATCCGGCAGATGTTGATTGTTTATAAATCAGTTGTTCTTGAGAAATTGCTGAATACTTTAACATGTAAACTTTTCCTTAACATGTCGAAGTTTGTTAAATTTTGATATCCACTATTACTATCTCCAAAAAATTAATGTTGTACGCTAAATGTGTATTTGCAATGTTGAAAAAATTTAAGTCCAATAAAAAAAGATTTTATGATAAAAGTTTAACTCATGAAACAGTTGATACGTTCTCTCAAGTCAGTTCTATCCCTTGAAGGTTCAAAACCTGTTTTCCCTTCCATCTCTCAGATTCTCTGTCAACCGCCGATATAATCAACCCAATATCCTTCCGTTCCTTTCAAATTACCATCTAAAAAGATCCGTTTAGGTTTCATAAATACCATCAATTACCACCTGATTTGCATTTTGTTGTATTTTATACGACCAATCAACAAAAAATTATTGAAATATTTCATTATTTTATGAATTCCGGATTGATTCATATCAGACATCTTCCAATATAAATAAAAATTTCTCTTTGAAATTCGCTTCATCAAATTTCACTCA